CATCGAGCAGCAGAGCTGAATTTATAGAACATAGTAAAAGAAATCCAACTAAATCCATACTTATAGTTATTAGTACTGAAATATCTGTATCTATGGCTTCATTATTAAACGCTATGCTCTGTGGGTATCTAATTACTAGAAGTGTATTTGTAATTTCAGATTTCCTTTCTCTATTTCTTTGTTTTCCTTTACTTCTGAAAGAGACAGAAAAATCTCAATAAAAATATTTTAATAATTGAGAATCCAGTTCTTTAAAGCATTGGAACTGTAGCTTTCAAGGAATGGAGTTTTGAAAATGTTTATGCACATAAAAATAACTGCTGTTTGCTTCTAAAGTTCCCAAATTGGTTACAGGCCTGTGTACATGCTGATGAAAACTCAGATTTATTTGTATGCTAGATCCCTTTGAAAATCTGACTTCTCAGAGCTTCATTCACTTTTGAAAATGGGAAATAGGCTCTGGAAACATTATGGCATTTATGAAAATATTACTTTATGCCTTCCCTTCAATGCTTATCATGTTGAGCCAAACTGCAGAGACTGCTGACAATGGTTGCTCTATCTGCCCGATGTGTACTTTGGCAAGCACAGGTTTTCTTTTAGAAAAGTGCAAAAATTGGAATGGTATTTTTACAAGAGGTATGAAGGGAATCCCATTAAGCTTCCAAATTCCTCAGATAAGTACATAAAAACTGGCAGAAGTGAAGAATAAAATGTGTCTTTTAATGCTTAGAGTTATTTAGAAATAGAAATTAATTGTGATGGTGTGAAAAGCAGCACTGATACTGTCTACTTTTTTTTCTGTGTGTATTGTTTGCTGGAGTACAAGAGCTGCCTTGTTGGACACTGTCCTATATATATTTTCTTGAGTGACCACCATTACCCTGCAATGAATGAAAGGTAACCTGCTCCTACATGAAGGAACAGTATATTAGTTCATTTTTCCTGCAGGATTTGAGCATACACACAGGGATTTATCAGAGTGTCTGGTGCCCACAGCTCCCAGTCTTGATTGCCTTGCAGTAGCCTGTTCTACTTCCCATAGGTTCAGGAAACTACTGCAACGGTCAAAATTGTAAACAAACTCGATTCTCTTAAAAAGCCTTGAAAAAACAGCAACAGTTGGCATTTTTTTCTGCTGACTTCAGTTGGGTTTGGATCAGGACCCATCTTTTTTCCTTCAGTAACAGAAATAAGCTGCTGCAATCTTGCAGGAGTTCAGAGATAATGTCTTGAGATTGCACCAGGCTGTGAACAGCTGAGGCAAAATGCGAAGTGTCAACATAATTTTGTCATCATATGAGCCATTTGTGAGTCTGCAGTTTGCCCTGCAGACGGTCGGAAGCCCAGGGGAGCACAGCAGGTGCCGCAGCAGGGACCTGATCCAGACCCTGCTGAAATCAGGGAGGAGGCCTCCTGTTGTCATTAGTTTGTTTGAACAAGGCCCCCTCCAGGAAGCAGCAGCTATCACCAGATGAATCCAAAATGTGAGTGCCTTTATATTTTTTCTGTCTTGCAGTTGCCAAAGCTCCCTCTGTTTTAGTAGCTGTCACAGAGTGTCTCTTCACTTAGCGGCTCTTGAGCAACTGTTGCTTTTTTCTTTCCTTTCATGCCACAGCCCATTATTAAGCAACTTCTAAAATACATACATACATAGATCTATAATATATACATTCTTAAGTGGCTGGCTCGTACATTGGTTGAAGAGGTAGAAGGGACATGCGTCTGTGGGAGGTTTCAGTCTTATTATGTGTCTAGGTGTCTAGCATGACATCATGTTGCATAAATTGAACACAAACACAACTCTCTCATCCAAAAAATCCTTCTGAATGGAGTTCATCATATAGAAAAATTCAGAGGAGAGACTTCTGAATGAACTGAGAATTAGCCCTAGGTAGCAGTTCCAACATTGCTGTGCTGTGCTGTGCTGCTGATCTGCCATCACGTCTCTACAGAACATTGTAAAACAATGAGATTTCCCATGCCCAGTGTCAATGCAGTTATAAACTCTCTGCTTCCAAACAGGTTTAAAGGCATATTTAGCTTTTGAAGATTTTCATGGATTACTGCCAAAAAAAAAGAAAAAAAAAAAAAAAAAGCATTTGTAGAATAATTGAGCCGAACCGTTTGGGGCATACATCGTCCAGCGTATGTTACAGGGCAATTATGATGAAGGCATTTCCCTTTTCCTTTAGTGCCACAGCTGTAACTCACACTGCCTCTTCAAAGATATACCCCACATTTTCTGTGTCCACTGAGTGAAACCGTTACAGGTATGGTTTTCATCAGTAGACCTTTTCTCCCCACCTCAGACATATTAATCATGCAATAATGGTGCAAACAGTTCCAGTCACCCAGAACCGGTTTGGTAGTTACCCTGACTAAACAAGTTCAGTACATCTCTTGAGGTCCTTCACCTTCTGGACACATCACATATGACTCTTCCAATATCATGGCTATTGGTTCCTGTTGTTTGTTGTCCTAGAGCTCATTTCCTCTGGACAATTGTTAACATTGCCTAACAGAAAGCCTTTTCAGGAAGAGCAGCAAATCCCGTGTCTTTTGTCTGTCTGTCTGTCTGTCAGAATTTGGATGTATTGTTTAATCCTCAGCATATATGTCTGACCAATGAATATATGTTCATTATAATAATTAATTTCTTGATCATGAAGTGATCATGAACTTCATGATCATGAAGTGATGGATGTATCCAGCACCGCAAATGAACAATTTCATTTATTTTGAGTTGTGCAGGCTTACAGTTCCCTTGGCTGTAGCTTAAAGACATTAAAGTTATTCAGATTGGTTTTTTTCTGCTAACTTGAATATCGGCATATGACAAATCCCATTTTGCTCAATTGTTTGCTTGTTGCTAAACTGTGCAAAGTCCAGATCAGAATTTAAATTTTCAGCTTGTCAGAACTGAGATTATGGAGTTTAGTCTTCTGAATATAACTGCAAGTAGTTGCAATGACGTAGCTGGAAACAGTGTTATCTCCTGAACTGTGGGTTGGTGCAACCAAACTGTAGAACAACCACATGTGCAGCTGTAATATTTCACACTAAGGGTATTTCACAGGAGTGAAAGTAATAATTTGAAAAAAAAACCATATTATTCTTCCAACCAGTGTGAATAAATCTTCATCTTCAGCTTTCCAGAATGGAAGAAGTTGCTTCTTGCTGAAGTATGAAGTGTGCCCTGTTAAGAAGTATGTTCATTTAAGTCCAAAGTGTGTCCCATTGAGAGGTCACCTCTCAGATCTAATCTGCATTCCAGGGGGTGCTTTGCACAAGGACACATGCTCAGGTTTTTCTCAGTTGTTTTGTCTCATTTCCCTTTCCAGTGAGTCCATTGCCCTGAGACCGGAGAACAAGGGTATAATATATTTTTAAAGACCCTGCTTTCAGAAAGGAGTACACTTTTTTTCTCCTCCATTTATTTATCCATACCTCTAATTCACACATTTACCCAGTGCACATCAGCTTGTTGCTGCAAGCTTTGAATTTCACTTGTGTGATTTCCACTATCCAAAGTTTTTCTTTAGTTGAAATTTCAGAGTTTTGATCATCACGTGGGTCTGTGCACCAGGATCTAATTTACAATGAACAATGACCTCTCTGTTTTTTAATTATCAGTAATTCATCTCCCGGTGCAATGCGGTCCAGTGCTTCTATGAAAAATTCCTTTGAATTAGTAGTCAGAAGGGACAAGGACATTACTATGCCATACAACTGCTGTGGCTTGTAAATTCTTCCAAAGTTGTATGATCAATTATATTTTTTCTTTTTTTTTTTTCATATTGTAACATCTGTATTGCCTTGGGCTGCTTGTCACAGAAGACATCATGAGCTAGCCTTGCCAGATGGGCTTATTTCCCAGAGTATGTCTACTCTGTGCAAAGCAGCTCAGCTGTTTGCAGAGATATCTAAAGGAGCCCTGTATAAGCTAGGTCAGATAACAAAAGCAGTGGAGTCATGGTGTGACACTCTGATACAGGATGTGTCTTTCTGTTTGGAGTTCCCATTTTGAGAATACTCTGGGTTCTCATGCATGTCTGAGACAGAGCATGTGAGGTACTGTCTATGAGATTAATTCTGGACCACACAATTTCCCTTAGGGCAATGATGGAACTGCTACCTAGGGCTAATTCTCAGTTCATTCAGAAGTCTCTCCTCGGAGTTTTTCTGTATGATGAACTCCATTCAGAAGGATTTTTTGGATGAGAGAGTTGGTGTTTGTGTTCAATTTATGCAATGCAATGTCATACTAGACACCTAAGTTTGTTCTGAATAAGTTGGTATGAGCATATGGCAAGGAACATGCCATGCAGAATTCAACTGTCACATTTGAACAGTAGCACAGCCTGATGTCTAGAGGCCTGCACAGTTTCAGCATCATGTCATTGCCTCAGTTGGCTTGCTTTCAGTTTTGATCCTACCTAGTGATCTGTTGCACAGCACAGCAATCTCTAGTGCTAGCTCCCAAAGTGGAAATATTTGCTTTTCAGCCCTACTTTCTTACAGCTCTTTTCTTATTTTAATTTTCCTTTGATCCCACAGTGAAAAGTCTCCTTTCCATATTTCAGTACTACATGGAGAATGGTACTTCTTGCTTTCTGAGACACAGTTTACAGTTTACTTGCTCTCCTCAGTCTGTAATCTCTGAGGTCTCACTGAATGTCTAGCGGAAGTAGTTTGAGAAAGTGTTATCCTGCAGTTTAGGTTAATCTGTCATGTTTCCCCTCCCACCCCCATGAGCAGTGCTAATAGATCAAACAATTTCAAATACACTGAGTGAGCAGTAGTTGGTAACTAAATTCTTACACCTGTTTCCAGAGTATTTAAATAATTGGTACTCAACAGTATTCAGACAACTCAGCATTTACCCAAATGCATCAGAACTTGATCTTGTCCAAAAAAAAAAAAAAATCTCTTATGATGGCTGTCATCCTCTTCCCTGGTTTCTGTTGTTTGTGCTGACAGAGAAAACCGCTGTCTGCATGTTCTCTACAAAAGAGCTGTTGATATTTCTTTGATGATATGAAGTGCCTTGAGATTTATTGATGAAAAATGTGCTAGTCTCTGGTGCCTGAGTAAACACTTTTTTTTTCAGGTGCATGTTTCTAGAGTCATGGAAGATTATTCTAGTTTGGGATTGCTGCTAATCTCACTAGCTGTGCAGGACACAAAATTATTTCGTTTTGTTTATTTTGAGAAAGCCATTCAAAAGGGAGGTCAAACCTGGAGAGAGGAAGTAAGAGAAAGGAATCAAGATATTATTGGCATGGTTGTCTGTGTATGGTTTATTAATTTAATATTGAGAATTTTCTCTTCATGTTTACCTGTGAATTTAATTTTGAACATTGAGGGATTTTCTTCTCTGTAGTGTCTTTGCCTCCTCATTTATTTAAAATGTCAGGAGCTGGTGATAAAGACAGTAAAAAGCCACTAACCTTGGTATCTGCTATCATGGCGTTAGTGTTTTGAAACAATGAGATTGTTGAATCTAAGAGAAAAATGGTATTATGTGGATTTTCTCAGCAGACAGAAACTTAAAAACTAAAATTTCATCAAAGGGAGATCAAACAAAATTTGCAAGGGCAAATCATTAAAACTGCAAAAGAGATGAAGTACGGGACAGTGATTCACAGACCGCTTGGGAAGATAAAAAAGAGTTTTCTTTTATAGCAGGAAAGTCATATTTAACTGAAGGATGTGCTGAGGAGGAAGGGAGCTAATTTCATGGCAGAAACAATTCCCTGGCTTTGAGGAGAAGCCACGAGCAGTAAACCATTATCAGTTCTTCAGTGTGATAGTTCTTCAGATTTCTTGAGGCAAACTGCTACCTACTTCTTTCCCCACCTCCCCCTCTCCCCTTTGTGTAACTGAGGCTAAAGGAGATGCTGGAGGCAAGGGCAAAAGGTGTCAGTGGAGCCAAAGGAGACTTAGTTATTTGAGGAGGGGGTCACTGGAATGATATTGGTGCTTGGAGAGTTTGTGGTACTGGGTGAGGAATTTAAAGGGCCACAAGTAGAGAAGGCTGGAAAGACTGAATTTCAGGGGAGAGCTCTGTGTGAGGGAGTGAGATTTGGTCTCTGACTCGATGGGAGAGGTATTGTACAGAGGAGTCCTGTCCTATATAACATTTTGTACTTTTTCTGCCTCCTTTCCTGGTGCCCTTACTTCTGGCTAGGTAAGCAAGAACAACCAAAAAAGGGAGAGAGGACTCAGGGATACGGTATGGCTTTGTTGAATTCTCTGCAGAAGAAATAATGTCAGGAGAAGTTGCGTGAGATCTTTCCCTACCTCTTCTGTAGGTAAAGAGAGGTGAAGACCTGGGCAAGAGGAAAAAGAGCTGCCAAACCACAGACTTTTCTGCCTAAGGTGTTCTCAAAACACTGCTGGGTTTGAGAATAATGATCTACTTCAAGAAAACTTGTAGTGGTGTTACAAGAGAGTTGCATGTCTTTACATACAGCCATGCATTTCCAGTGATAGATAAGGCATCACTAAGTGTATCTAGGAAATGCTGAAGAGTAAAGTGTGTTTATTTGCTTGTGACCATCATGAGTCCTCAAAGACTGAATTGTAGGCAAAGTGTGACTTTGAATCTGGGGGCTCTGGAGAAGGGGGAGATTGGAAGTTAAGGGTATCACTGACCGGGGTGCTGGGGACATAAGATGTGTGTGCTGCTGTCTGTTCCCTTGAGTGATGACAGAGAGAATTGAAAGAGTGAGAAAGATCTTTGGAAATAGAAATGAGACACTGAGGGAAGAGAACACTTCAGCCTTTCAGGGGGTGGTGTTTGTTGTTTGGTTTTTGTTTCCCTATATATATTTTTTTTAAAGGAGCTTAGTAGAAGCAAATATATTCTATTGTACTCAAACACTGCATACTGGTGAGACTCTAACCCAAATGATACTGTTGGGGTGATGCTCCCAGTGGAGAAATGCTTCAGATAGTTTTGGGACCAGAAGCCATATAGATGTATGCTTTCTGTAGGTTCTGGTCCACTCCAAACTATCCCAATCATTGATTGGTGAATTTATTAACCCATTTGTTGTGTAGTGTAATGGATTTAATGGTAGAAAATCCTGGGACTAAAGGGATTGTGAAAAGTCCCATAATTAAATAGAGATGCCCTGGCGTGCTTTCTGTAGGTCATCTCTAACAATGGTCTACCTACTGAGCAATAATTTTAGAGACATTCTTCAAGATCTGAACCGTTTATAAAATGTTGTATTTTTGTTACTGTAGGGAAACAGGTGTCCTAAGTCAGATGGATCACACCTTGCAGGTTAGTTAGGCTGTGCACTCTACTCTATTATATTTTCAGGAGAAAGTACTCCCAGCCTCAGAAAAGTACAACTTAATATACATTTGTTTTCCTGGTCCTGTTTCCTCCATTTTTAATTATGGTTATGAGGAAGTGCTTTAGTTTCAATGGAGCAACAAATTAAGAGATTCTTCCATCTCTTTGAAGGTATGTACACACTTGGTATCTGTGGTTTAGCACAGGCTAAGGAGAGGCTCTGAGGCCTTGTTTATGCAGTAGAATTCCCTATTCATGCCACCAGTGGTTACTGGATATAACAAAGAGAGGAACCTTGTATAAACAAACCTCTTTCAACCTCTTTGCTCAAAGCAGATTTACTTACACTAAATTTTGCCAGCTGGGGCTTAAGCACATACAAACAATTCAGTGCTAGCTGTGTTAAGAGCTGTGGAAACTTTTAGAAAAGTCCCCAGTGTAGGTAAGGGAGTTTCCTGTTCACTATCCATATCATACCTTCAACACATGCAACATTACTCTGGAATATCCCAAACCTCAAAATTGAACAAAATGGCTGAATTCTTTGTAAATCAGTATTCTGCTTACAGCTATGATATAAATAGTTGAAGTTTCTTCATCAAATACAGAAATTATGGAGTTGGGTCAGGCACTGTTACCTTTTCCTTTACTTTCCTTCTTCTCATGTCTTGACTCTGGAAAGACATGAAAGACAAATTTGGATTTTCTTTAATACTATTGTCAAGAGATCCACATTATTCATATAAATTGATCCTGTATTGATTTTCTCCACTTTCTTTCCCATTTCGGGGCAGACTTTTTCATGTTCAGTAGTAGGCCTTCTCCTGCAAGTGTCCAGAGGTGTGGTCTAGGTGTGTTCAAATCTAGCCTAGTCATTCATCTGTCACCTTGTCATTAGCATGGCGTCTGTATTTAATTGGGCTTCCTTCCTTCCTTCCTTCATCCGAAATCAGTTTTTATATACCATGAAAACTGCAGCACATTATTAAAAGTTAGCTCTAAGTGAGATTCTTGGCTCTTATATATACAAGGAGCAGTGAAAATAATATCTCAAGTACTCTTTCAGATGAGCGCTATGCATGAAGAACATATTATGTGGGAGTCCAGTACACTGCCTGAAAACATTCTATTTCTTAAGCTTTGGTTCATAAGCAACTTGTTTAAGAGAGGGGTTTTTTTAGTCTGTTGAGTGGCTTGATAGGTCATAATCATCAACAACTTTCACCGGTTACATCTTTGCCTCCCAGAAAATGTTGCTGAGTCATTGTGGTTAGTATTTCAATTGAGTTTAGAAACAGCACTGAGATCAGCACTCCATCTATTTTGTGTATAGTAAGGGTTGGTCCCTCACTGAGTATGCCTGTATTTTGCAAAGAAAATGAGAGAAAATATTATCCTAGTTTTAGAAATGGAGACCTGAGGTACTGTGCTTGGGGGTCTGGAGCTCCTGGTGGACACCAAGTTAACCGAGTCAGAAGAAAGCTCTTGCAGGAAACACAGCCAACAGCATCTTGAGCTGCAATAAGAAGAGCATCACCAGCAGGTCAAGACAAGTGATCCTCTCTACTCATCCCTGTTCTACTCATCTGAAGTGCTGTATCCAGTTCTGGGCTCCACAGTGGAAGAAATGGGCATGTTGGAACGACTCTAATAAAGTGCCACAAAGGTGACTGAGGGATTGCGGCATCGAATGTATGAGAGGCTGGGAGAGCTGGAACTGTTTAGTCCAGAGGAGAAAAGGCCTGGGGGGATCTTACCAGTGTGTATAAATAGCTGATTTTTGATGGGATGAGTAAAGAAAGAGATGGCCTCAGTGGTATCCGATGACAGGACAAGGGACAATAAGCACAAATTAGAATACAAGAAATTCCATTCAAATGTAGAAAAAACTGTTTTAGTGTCAGTATCATCAAACATTGAAACAGGTTGCCCAGAGAGACTGTGGAGTGTCCATCATTGGAGGAAGTCAAACCCCAGCTGGACACTTTCCTGAGGAACTCGCTATAGCTGACCCTGGTTTGAGCAAGGGGTTGGACTCCGTGGTCTCCAGAGTTCCCTTCTTCAATGCGTCTGTCATTCTGCACCCACCAGCTTGCTCTAGCAGTCGCAGGAGTTTATTGTAGTGAGTAGAGCTGAGTGCAGGATACCAGGCTGTCTGATCTGACCCAGCTGAACTTGACACACGGTCAGAGGGGCCTGCTCCCCACATCCCAGATCACAAGATAGTAAGCTGGTCTAAAGACTTGCTCAATTTAACACCCATGTTCCTAGGCTTCCGCCCCCTGTCCCCAGATCATGCTTGTAACTGGGATCACCCGCGTGCAATGGCATCCCAGCCACATTCCTTCTTGCCCGGGCGCAGGGCCATGCAAGTGGCCCAGGAGTCACTATCACAGCTCTTGCGGATTCCCTGTGTGGGAGTGGATAGTTAGGCACATTTACAGCAGCATTTGATAATGTAGCAAAACAGTGTTTTAAGCCCTGCACCTATTAGAATCATCACTGGCTTCACCTGGAGACAATCAAGACCAGGCATGGATACAAAGGAGACAAGAAGGCTAGGTCACAAAAATTCAGGTTGTCCCAGTGCATCAAGCCCTGTTCTTCTGCCTTAGTGGAAGCAATGCTACAGTCACTGGAAATTACATTCAAGATATTTCTCTATAGGTACTACTTCTGATTACTTTCTTGTTCACAAAAATAGTAGATTTGAGCAACTGAGATGTGTACAAATGTTTGATATTAAGAAACAGTAGGTTCAGTTTGAGGAAAATTGGTTTCAATCTAACCAGGGTGATCAGATAGTCATGAATAATAAAAAGTCACGTGTGAAACATATATTCAGCAAAGTTAGGTGTCCAGTAAAACTAGTTTCAACATTGTTTGCACTACCTAATCTCTGAAATTATAATGTGTGAGTCACAGCCCTTAGATGATCTTAACCTTTACTAGAGGATACCCTGCTTTGTGTTCAGCAGCATAAACAACTGAGCAAGGACCTGTGCAGACCTGGTGAATACAGCAGGACCCTTTTGACTGTACCGTAAGTAATACATTTTTTTCTGTGGAAAAAATGTCAGACGTTCTGTGTAGAACAAAATTTTCTGAATAATCAATTGAGAAAATACCATGTTCATGTTCAAGTGGCAATTTAAATGTTTTTGTATTGGTTTATTGTGGTTTTGTTTTTTTTAAAAAAGGTAAGTCCTCTGTGAAGTAGTCATGTTTGTACAGCATAACTCTCTTTAGGAAAAATTGCATCTCTAAATGTTTTAGAGTTAAATGAAGTAAATGGTTGATAATAACAAATGTAGGGCATTAAATTAAAATGGAAGTGGGGACTTAAGGCTTGCTGTCTAAAGCTTCTAGAGAGTTTGGAATAAAGAAACTGGATAATGGCTGAAAGAATTAGAGTGATGGTGGAGCAAGTTGCAAACGAATCAAAGAGCTCAAATTTAAATTTATTCTAGATATGCAAGTGAACTGTCTGAAAGTGATTTGTCATGGGGCTCAGGCCCTTCCTAACAATAGTAGTATTGCTATAACCATGATATTCAAAGGGTGTGACTTAAGGAATATTTATAGCATATATTATTAAAGCAGAGATCAGCATTCTGATTTCAATCAATTTTGGAGAACCAAGACTCTGGAAAGTGGAGAACACAAATGTAGGGCCATGTTGGGAGCTGACAAGGGTTCAAATGATTTTACAAGGCATGAGGTTCTGAATACCATTGCTCATTGCAAGTCAGGTACCTAAGGTATTTCTCCCTTTTGAAAATCCTTACGTTTTCCTCTAGAGAGTATTTTATTTTATAAAAGAGTCTCTAAGTAAAGTGATCAGATACCACAGGAGGATATTCTGGATTTCCAGATATTCCACATCTTTACTTCCTTCTGTCTGTTGACAGAAGTTGTTGAAACAAGTGTGGTACAGTATTAATTTCTAGAGTCAAAAGTATTGCCACAGATTTGGAATGGATGGTTTTCATGCTGATCTGGAAAAGGCTTTCCAGTTCTATCAGTAACTTTCAGTATCTTTATTTCTCCAGAATTCACTCATTCATCTTTTACATTTTACCATTGCAGCCTTCTCTGTCAAAATCACCCACTGCTATCTTTCTGATGATAAACACCGTGTTTGTTCTAGAGTTTCCTCTAATTTTTGAAATTTACTTTTAGATGATTTGGTTCAGTCACTGGACTGGATGTGTCTTTGTGTGTGGCAGGCATACTTATTTCCACTTGCTGTTCTGTGCACACACCCATTTTCCCTTTCTTAATAAGCAACACAGTATTTCCAGGGTCTTGGTAACTTCCTATTTGCTGAAAGCTTATTTCTCTCTTTTGTTAGTTATGTGGAAGTGCTCAATTGTTCAAGATTTCTGGAATCACTGTAAATGTTCATCACTTCCTCATTAACAAGTACATTTACTTTCTCTCTGCTGCCTGCCTATATGTTCACATGCAGCCCATTCAAAAATGTATAATATTTTAATTCTCACAATGGAGGAATATTGTGCCTTTCTTCTGCTTTGATTGGCTTGACTGACTCCCTTACTTCTGCTCTATAGACCTGTACTTTTGACTTACAGCTTTTTATCACCTAAAACCACATTAAAAGCAGAACACCGGAAAAAAAACAAAACAAACCCCCAACAGTTTCAAAGGAATTGCAGCCTAACCTTAATGAGGGTGTCTTTGGTATTACTTCATACCTCTTTGACTTTAATTCTTATTCTTTCCTAATTTCTTCGGTAGGTTGAGTAATTTTCCAGAGTCTGCTTCTTTGAAATAGAAAGCTGGTATCCCTGAATTCAAATGGCTTGGAATCACTGGTACCAAGCCAGCTTTGTACAGTGAAGGGATTGACTTAGTTTTAAGCACAAGGAAAAAGATTTATAAGACAAATTTCTTTTTCTTTTTTTTTTTTTTTTTTTTTTTTTAATTGTTGGGCTTCATTCCAACAGTTATTGCTATGAGCCTAATCGCCAAGCTGTAAGAAACCAAAATCAAAGAGGCCAAGGAAACCTAAACATGCCACAGCAGGCTGTAGGGAACAGTGTTTGTCGGTTTGCGTGTTGCTTCTACAAAGAGATTTCTTCTCGTGAAAACAGTGGGAATATTTTCTTCTCTCCTTTGAGCATCTCTACTGCCTTTGCAATGCTGACTCTGGGTGCCAGAACAGACACTCTGACACAGATTCTTAGAGTCCTTAGCTTTAACCCACGTGAGATTTCTGAAAATCAAATACATGAAGGTTATCGACAACTCATGCAGATGGTAAACAGAAAGAATGAGGGGTTACAGCTGAATATGGGAAATGTCCTGTTTGTGCTTGACCGACTGAAGCCACAAGAGAAATTTTTAAATAGTATCAGAAACTTCTATGAAGGAGAAGCTTATCCTATGAACTTCAAGAGGGCTGATCAAGCCCAGATAAAGATCAATGAATATGTAGCAGGAAGAACCAATGGGAAAATTAAGGACCTCATAAGTAACCTTGATCCACTTACTGAAATTCTCCTTATCAGCTATATTTATTTTAATGGTAAGATTTACATATTATATTCTCCTAGTTCATACTTTATTTCCTCAGGTCAGTCTTGGACTTCATCACCTTTTTTTGCAATATGGTTTTGCAGATGGTCTCATATCTTGTTTTCTTTTTGGTCCTCACGCTTAATTGTAAACAAAGCTATTGGAAACTATGTTCTACTTGATACTGATGATAATTTCTAGCAAAATTTATATATTTTTTTTCCTATATCTTTTAATATATACATTTCTTTCCTGCTGAAGATTAAGGGACATATACTTTGAGGAAGGCATCTCCCTGCAGTAAAGCATCTAATCCTATACAATCTAGTGGGATTTAAGCACTTTCTGGATTTTTTTTTTTGTCTAGGAATTAATTTTAAATCCACTTCATCTGTTTTTTAGCAAGTTTAGAGTTAAATTCAAAGAACACTGTTCAAGAAAACTTTGTATTTTACCTAAAAGAACATATGTTTACTCAATAGTTTTGCTGTTACTGAGTATGTTCATGTATCCAAAGCTAAACCTGTGATACTAGGCTTAGTTTCAAACTCATGTTCTCCGGTTTTGGTTTGTTTTGTTTTTTGTTTCTTTTTTTACTATGTCTTTACTGATAGTGTGGCCGTAGTCCTGATGTGTCTGAAAGCATAGGTTTTCAACATTTTTTTTTTGATTTTCAGATTCTAATATTTTCCAGTGAAGAGATGGACCCACCAGTATCAAATACAAGCCTAATGACAATAAGCTTGGTTTTCTTAATTAACTTATGCAGTCTACTTAGATACAGTCTACAGACCTTCCCAGAGCTTTTCAGACTGCTGATCTAATAAGAAGAGGAGCAAGTCTGTAAGGTTCAATCCCTGGTCTAATAACAGATATTGCATCTTCTTTCAGACCTTTTTTCTCTTACTCATTTTATCATATTCTGAAAACAAAGCAATGGTACTCAGAAAAATAATATTATGTATTTTATCTGATAAAAAATATCATTAAGCTTTTAAACTGAAACAGAGATGACATTAGAAATGCTATTTTTTTAAAAGAAGTGTTATTCTTTTAAAAATGTTAAACTGGATGCTTTCACTCTTCTCTCCAATATGAGGCTTCACCTGAAAGTAATTCAAAACCGTATTTTTGTTTTGTTTTGCTTTTCATCTGTGTGTCTGCTTTTGTGTTAATCTCTGAAGCTAAATGGAGCTGTTTGCAATATAGATGACTGAAGTTTCTTAATTCTCTTGAATACATACTTGTTTGTCTCAACTGTTTTCAAGACAGGCTTTTGTTTATCATCAGGAACATCTTTCAAAATAGGCAAAAAAGCCTATTCTTTTACTGAAAAATATTTGAAGAAGGAGCAATAAATTTAGCAGTCCAATGGGAACAAAAGCTTGAGAAACATTGTATTAAAGATAACTTTGTATTACAGATAACTTTTACATGTTCTAAAAATAAGTTTGGGTTTAAATTAAATGTTCTTATTACTGAAATGATTTCCCAGCCCTTCCAAAATTGGTGGAGATTCAGTTTCAGCTCTCCAATTTTAAAGAAAATAGATTAAAGAACAGCATTAATAGCAATAATAAGGATTTTAATCTTGAATTTGAGCGTAGGCTAATTTTAATTGACCTAGAGGCTGGGATTAATCTGGAGAGGATCTATAAATCTCAGGTACCTCTATAACCAGACTATACTTCTAGGCTCTCGTCCACTCTCTGTGCATTACAACCTTCCTTGCACAGTACTGGTGACTCTCCTCCCACTTTGTGGTGTAGCATAGTGTAGTTGTTCTTCCCTAAGGATAAAAGTCTGGCGATGTTTTCCTGGCTCCCAGCCAGCAGGCATGCTATTCCACTACTGTACACCAGTCCCTTATCGTGCCCTAGCCAAGCTGGTCACTACAAATTATCATACTTTGAGGTTTGTTTTTCCCCTTGAACACTGTGAAGTGTTTGAGAAAGGTGCCATCCCTAGAAGGTAGCCTGCTAAGAGACAGGAGAGCGTAGGAATAAGAGTGCCTCTGAAACAAGAGGAAAGGATTAGTGGATATCATCTCTGTCTAATCTGTGTGCTTAAATCCTAACATCCTACTCAGTTTTTTAATCAAACAAAGCTCTTTCTGAAAACGGTGGGTGTCTTCCCTGACTTGAGCACTAGATAAAGGTTGTTTGAGTATTTCAGGACTTGTGTCATTCATGTTTCTGTGATTCATTCTGATTATTTTTTTCCCCTCCCTTAAGCGTATCAAGGCAGAAGTCCTGCTCATTAGATATCTGATGATAGAAGTCACTATGAATAAAATAACATAAAAGTAACAACTTTTCCCATCTTCAGAGTACTGGCAGTGGTCAGCTGATATTTTCAGAGCCCGAGACATGCATTAACTAAGTCTCATTTCACTCTCCAAATACTAAACAAGTGCTGTTTATAGCTACTTCACAGATGGTGGAAACAGCAGATGATAGTTATTTCATTTGTACCAAGCTGCCTTATAATCAGTGTTCAAATAGAAATCAGAAGTCAAAAGGCGTCGTTTCATGGTTTTCTTGATGGCACTTAATTTACTTAGTATTGTGGCTCTACTTTTGCCCACTAAATTTGATAAAAAATAGTTTTGTTGTAGAAGGCAAAATTTACTACAGAGCAGCACCTCTTTATTTAAAAAACAAAACAAGACAGCTCCCCCCAACTTTTAACTCTTTTAAAAAATCTGTTCAGCCTCTGAAATTGATGAGGTGGATAGCTGGAATTTGGCTTAGAAATTCCTCTCTGCTGCGGATAAGAATCTTTTGGAGTTTCAATATAGACTGTTTCACTATAAGCAGGGAGCCTTTGGAAATTTAATATCCTGAGCATGACAGTACAAAAGGTTTATGTTGTTGTTTTGGTTTTTAACCATCAGTCAGGTAGAATTTTCTTAATTACTTTATTGGCTATCAACAAAGTGGCATATAAAACCCTTCTCTCTGCAAGTAACCTGAATCTCGTCATTTCTCTGTAGAATTCATCCCTCATGTCACCCTTCACAAGTTTATTTTGGTGTGGGAGTACGGAAAGGAGAGAATCTTTCTTCTTCTGAGATCTCATTTAAAGGCTTCATCATATGAGGGTTTTATAGGCTCCTTAAAACTGTTGTCATGGAAGAAAAGTGCACACTAGAACACTTGGTATCTCATCTTAATGAAGGATATTGCAGACTGTTGTAAGATCTGAGGGAGTTTTTTACATCACACTCTACCTACTGTATGTTGCTATTGAATTATTCTGAGTATTCAGTATGATCAAGTGCTCATTGAAAACTGGTTTGTCTTTGAAGCTGATCCAGCTGTACCAGTTGCTGTCATCTATGAATGTGTCCTTTGGTGATATGTCCTATGCTTTCATGTTCTCAATATATCCTGTAACTTTGTCTCTTGTATTTCAAGCTGAATGGGAAAAACCTTTTGACCCAAAATACACTAAAAAGAACAAATTCTTTGTGAGTGGGAACAAGGCTGTTGAAGTCCCGATGATGTTTGGAATGGGCCAGTTCAAGCATGGCTATGACGAACAGCTGTCTTCCACTGTGGTGCAAATGGATTACAAAGGAGGTGCTTCAGCATTTTTTATTCTGCCTGATCAAGGAAAAATGAGGAAGTTGGAGAAAAGATTGTCTTGTGAACGTATGTCAAGGTGGAGGACAATAGTCTCAAAAAGGTAAAATTCTTCAGTTCTTGGTTCAGATGGTAGGCAAGGAGACACATCAGTCTCAACCTGCTGGGCACAGAATAAAGATACTATTTTTAGTTCTGTTTTAATCTACAGAAGAATTCCCACTGACCAAAGTTGAATCCTGTCTCTCTGGTGTCCTGTGTTTTCACGTTCAGTACTGCATGAAATGAAAACCTTCACAACTTCAGGACTTTTGCCATTTACGCATTTTGTTTCCAATCTTCAACTCTCCATAGCCCCCAGTTTTCTGCCTTAAGACCTCTTTTCACTTTTTTGGAGGGAGGTCTTCTGCATTCTATTTACTAATAAATTCCTACCACTTTCCTTCAGCCTTTTTTTTTTTTTTGTCTCTCGCCTTCCTTTCTGTCAGTTACAGTTACCAGTACTTGTACCTTTAATGCTGAAATAACAGCTTCCATTTGGCAATTGTGAGGACAAATCTCAATGATAAGGGTATAGAGCAGCTGGCACATTGCAGAGCCATTCTATTAAGGCTGTTTGAAGACTTAGGAAGGCAAAATTGAAATAAGCTACACTTGCTTCATGGCAACTTTGAAGGCAGAAAGGTTATATGCTTTCTAAAACCTACTTTAGATTCCTTCCATTTAGTGTCATGGGTAATAGCCTTTGATGGGACAAAATATGTGTACAAGCATACGCACAACATGTTTTCAGAATCAAGCCCTTGTGTTCATTCATGAATCTGATGTGCGATGTTGGAGACCTTCAGACATACACATTTGAAAATTGTATTTTAGATATTGTCTCAAGACAAAAATGACATCCTAATAGAGAAAACCAAACCCAGTGTCATGCTCTTAACTCTGATTCACTGTTAAATCTGACCAAAAGAATCTAGATTTTTTTTTCTTAAAAAAAATAAAAAAGACAGAAAGAAGTATTGAATTCTCTGTGCATAGACACAGTTTTGAAATTTCTCGGAGAAGCTATGTGTTTTGTGACTAAAATCACTATAGGACAAATATGATGGTGAATCAAGACAATAATGAATAATTTTTGTCAAAGAAACATAATTGCCTTCAAAATCATCAAGAACGACACTATATAAAATTGGAGGGATTTATATTTCTTCTCTCTATCCTCTCCCTCCTCTCCAAACAGGAATCTACCTAAACAACATGAATGAGAGATGTAAATCTTATAATATAAAAATGCATTACTGTCACAGATGAGCTTGTTTCATTCAGCTCCCCATTTTTCATCATGGATGTTCTCTCCTGCAAACTAATGGCACAAACTCCTCCTCTTCCATCTAGTTTTCAAAGCAACTGATTGCCTTTGCTATTATTTAGAGTGTCTGGGAAGTCAATAAATGGTTTTGATGTAGGATATGGAATGATTTAAGGACTGTTGGCAGATATGTTTGTCTCTGTTTCTCTGTCTGCAAACTGACATTAACACAAGTTGTAGAAGCATTGTTAAGGAACATTTTTTATTACTATTGACTGCTGAACAGGGGACAGTCCCAAAGTGTTGCTAGTACAGGCAGATGAGATCTATTTAAAGACTAAACTGTGGAGAAAACATCAGTTTCTCTTCTGCAAAATGTATTGAGTGCATCCAGCCTGGTCACATTGTTGCTGTTTGCCTACAGCTTTCCCTTTCCTGTATGTTGAAAGCAAGTGGGGGCTTGTGAATGAGAGTCTTTATGTAATAGCAAGACAGATGATTCAATGGTAGTTGCATCCTCACTTGAGACAGCAATCAGCACAGTCAGAAATTAAGCAGAAGTAAAAGATCAGCAACCTGTTATCAATCCGCTAGCACTCTCGTTTTTGGGTACCAGCCAGACTTGGCATTAGATGCTGTGTTACACCGGTGGTATGGGCCCTTTCCTTCCCACTTGTCTGCTGCATGACTTCCTCTTTGGCCAGCTTCATTAAGTGCTCCACATCTCCCTGACCTCAACCCCTGGACAGCTGTCCTGGTTTCTCACCAGAAAACAGTAACTACTGTCAGCAATATCACTGACCTCTGTCTCATTATGTTGCTTGTAGCTGTAAATGTTGGTTTTAACCTTAGTGAAAGAGCAAGAAAGGAGTCAGAAATGTGGAGCTTTGATTAATTTATGGAAAGCAGCAAACTAGTCACTTTCAAAAAAAAAATTAATAAATCAGACATTGGACTTGACATAGAAAAAGAATTATCTATTGACTAAATACATTCTGTCTATGTGCTCTTGTTTTTCATTTTCTCATTCATACAATCACCACCACATACTGTCCTGCTCCTTAGGTGTATCTTTTTGTTTTCTCTGTCCTGATTTATATGATAAACACAGAAGGACAACATTTAAAAAAAAAAAAAAAAAAGTGAATGTGGATGTCTTATATTTTTTGTGCCCATTCTGAAGCACCTAAAAGAACCACTTTTTCACAAGGTGAATCCTCTGCATCCTTAGTAATGGGGCATGATGAAGGTGCTTCCAGCAGAATACACAAAATATCTCTAGCTTCTGAAAATGTCAGATGAAGATCCTTAGGGAGACATAGCTGTACTGGTTCAATCTCAGTGTTCATGTGTTGGCTTACTGCAGACTGTGAGCCAGCAACCTACAACCCTATTCCCTCAACCATTCTTCTGACATTGTTATAAACTTTCTTTTCTTCTCCCCAAATTAATGTCACTGTACATCTCCCATGTAGACTAGAGAGAGCCTACAAGCAAAATATCTTTGGGGAGAAAGCAAAATGAGTTTGTCTCTCGCAAGTCTGCGTTATACTGTGATATCTGATCAAAAGTTTCACCATATTCTGGCACTTCTTTTCTGGCAGCTCAGCAAATTTGTATCTTCCGAAATTCACTCTTTATGGGACATATAACCTAAAAAATATATTATATAAAATGGGCATCATGGATGTATTCACTGATAAGGCTGACCTCTCTGGGATCACTGGGCAGCCCCAGCACAGAATTTCCCAGGTAAGTCATACTGCTTTTTGTTTTATGGGCCCATGGTTACTGATGCTTACATCCCTTTCTTTACAACTATTCATGATGCAAAACTTATGCTTTGCTTCACATGAAAAGGCAGCTGTTGGCATACAGAGTATTTCACCCATGTTACTTGCACTGTCAGTGCAATTGAGTTGGATCAGGTAATAAATCTGTAGTTTTTTAATCTAGGAGGCCTTTTGGATCTGCGTGGGGCAACCTTATAAAACAGACATGACCAAATCATCATCTGTCCACGCCTCGGTACCCCTCTGCAGCATGTTGTTACAGTCATTATGTTTCTGCTTCTGTTCATGCCTTACCTACTTTAGCTTGCCTCTGGGCAAGTAGGGAGCTGTAGGATGTATCACTGCTGGTGTTTTATGGAGAGAAGGGGAGGGGAGGGGAGAGGAGAAACACTGCTTGCCTTTAAACTGTTTAGGGGAAAGGAATATGCAGTTATTAAAAACATTTGGCTTCAAGCCTAAGAGCAATGAACTCTCATTAGTGACAGGCCCAGACAAAAGGTACAGATAAGTCATACTTCAATAAAACTAGAGTTTAAAGCTGACAATCAGTGCAAATTTCATTGTCCAATATGAACAAAACAACTGCCTTCATGACCTCAGGTGGAAGTCAGAGAACTAAGGTCTGTGAATGTCTTGATTTTGCAAGGTAAAACTTACATGTTTCTCTGCTCTAGTCCTCTATTTCTGGCCCTTCTCCTTTGCTCCCATTTTTCCCAAGACATTAAGGAACATGGAAAACATAATTTCCAGATGCTATTCAGTGTGCTAATCTGTATGTTACTTCTTCAACTCTATATAAACTTTTAATAGACAGCTAAATATGGTCTTACTCTTTTAACCTTTAGTCTAGCTCCACAGATCTGCACGAGTAAGAGCAGGGATTAAGAAAAGAAAACAAATTTTTTACTAGCAGGGACATACCCCTCCATTGGGGATGAACTTTTCCTCTCTGAGGCTAGGAGAGCTATGCTACATATAGGTTGCTGGGGTTTTTTTGAGCTTTGCTGTCTTTGTGCAGTGGTCTCACACCTGTCCATCTGATGCTTGTTTCTTACCAATAACTTCTTCAAGCACTTCTATCCCCAGTTCTTATTTAGGTGACTAGTTTTGTAACCCCTTGACTTGTAACATATCTCTTTCTTCACAGGCTATTCATAAGGCTGTGGTAAAGGTGGATGAGACTGGCACCGAAGCAGCAGCTGCCACAGGCATGGAAATAGTGCCTATGTCCGTTCCAGATACCATTATATTTAACAGGCCCTTCCTATTAGTCATAACTATGGACAACACTATTCTCTTCATGGGAAAAATTGTGAACCCTCTGAAAAAAGATTAATTTGATGTACATACTAAGTATGCGGTGATCACCACTGTTAAATCAAGTGTTTGACCTGATGAGTATGGCATGGCTACAGAGGCTCTCCACCTCTTAACTGATGCTATTCACTGTTTTTTGTAGATGAGACTCTTCATCAATTTAAGTTGTTGTAATTGCATGTTTGTTTGGGCCTTGTTTTTTTTGTGTTTTTGTTTTTTTTTTTTTTAAAAAGAAGGTTGCATTCAGGCAGAACTGTCATTAGATCTGTGACAAAATAGGCCTGTGTGATACTGACAGCATAGATACATCTTCTAGCAGGGAAGATGTGGAGCATGTGGGTGGAGAGGGCTGTGAAAGCCTACTTCTTCCCTCATGGCTGCCTTCTCACCTTTTTTTGCATTGACTGACAGATGGGTAAAAGTTCTGGTACTTTACTACTTGTGCCCATTTTCCTACCAACATGAAGTTCATAACTAGCATAGAACTTAACATGCATAATGCTTACTACCTTGCATAGTACCATTGTTGTCCAGTGAGTCTATTACATCCTTGCCTTTCAGCTGTCATCCCAGCTAGGCTGCTGCAAAGGGGTCACAAAGAAGGTGTGTTTTTCCCCTGCAGATATATACTGGCTTGCCCACTGGTTCTGTGAGAGTTTACAGTCCAGACTCATTACAGGCAAATGTTAGAGGGTCTTAGAATTTGGTTTAAGAAAATAAGAGGTATATCGGATCTCTGCAGTTCAGTGCCCTGGAGCTGACCTTTGTGAATGAGATACTCAGCTCAGAGCAGCCAGAAGACTGCTTCTAGCTTATGACTGCACCTAAACCAGCTTCTAGAAGCCCTGAGGCAGCAAGAAACACAAGCCATCTCCCCCTGATGCCAGTGCCTGTACCATTACTGTCTGGTCTTGGGAGTCAGCTCATGGTAGCAAACACCATTCCAGTATTTGTAGGATTAAGCACCCCACCAGTAACACCTGTACCCCATCAGTGACACTTACTGTGTCTCTTGACATAACCCCTTCTGTCCAGACTGTCCAGTAATACAACATTGGTACTCTATTTCTCATCTGCTTCATGGTTAGTATAACCACAATATTATAAAGATCTGTTTTCACTATTAAGATACACAATACTAAAAGTCACATTCATAATGCACATGCTTATTTATTATTTCTTGTTTATTTTCCTATCTATTTTTCTTCTGTTTTGCACAACATCTATCATTATTTTATTTCTTTGCTCATGTTCATGGTATATATCTGATCTCTGGTTGCAGGAGGGGTAAATTATTGACTAAAATGGGTTTGTCTGTTAATAGGTATTAAGCATTAACACCAGTCTTTGTACAGCCTTGAAATATGCAGACAAATGTACTATGGTAGAACAACAATGAATAAACATGACATTTAAAAGTTTCTAATTTTGCTATTTTATTTCTGTAATTCAGAGTTAAGACTTAAGTATTGTTCAAGTAGGGTTTTTTGACTGGTGTCAACATACAGTTATTAATATACTGCTTATATATATTAGATCAGTACAATGATGCCAGTAATGAGCTTCAGAAAGTCCTGTGCCTTTGGCCTGAGGAGTAAATCCCTGTTCAAAACATAGCAGGTTATCTCTGTTAGGAGGAGAACTTTTTGGGAAGGTTTCACATGTCTTTGATTCAGATGTTTATTTCAAAGGCTACAGACAACATGCTTCTAGTCTATCAAATGTGTAGCTTCATGTATCTCTCATATTTCTTCTAAAAATCTCTCTCTTGACTCCCTCTAATAGCTATGTTACTAGTCATGGCATGTGTTTTGAGCTGTGATTCCTTTTCTTCCGTAAGCAAAAAAATGGCCATCTAGATCATACTTTCTTCAATAGGTTATGACAGGAAAACAAGAGAAGTGCTTAGAAGCTATCAGATTTTTGTAGATGAACCCACTTCCAAAGTAAAATCACAATGAAGAAAAACTCATCTGTGTGGCATTCAAATCGGTCAATAAGGAAGAGTAAAGAGTAAAGAGTAGAGAGTAAAGAGTAAAGAGTAAAGAGTAAAGAGTAAAGAGTAAAGAGTAAAGAGTAAAGAGTAGTATTTCCCAAACTGAAAACAATATGTACTAAATTTGTTTTCATTTGTCTGTGACTACATCCCTGGACCCATAGTGAACCTTGACAGAGGGTACTTTTCTCCAGGTTCTTACAGATCTTTGTAATTTATATTGATCTAGGAGCACTGTGGATCTTGCTAGGTCACAAACAGTTTTCTGACATAACGAGAAACCAGTTCCTGCAGCTTGCTTTGCTATAAAAATGTATAGCAATGCATTTGGATGTAAATACAAAAAAAAACTAACTTAAAAGGAAAAAGTAAAATTGGCATATTTACACAGCAAAGTAAATTAGAATTATGAGGAAAAACTTCAGAAAATGGCAGTCCTGACTCCCCCCCAAAAAGAACAACCCCAAAACATTAAATCTCAAACTGTAGTAAGAAAGTTCAAGGACAAGTTTGAGAAAAAACCCCTCAACTTACAGAAGTCATAGCATATAATAATATATTATTTTCAGAAGACATCAGAAACCTGTTACAGTCTGAGCGGCCAATAGATGTTCAAAGTGTAAAAGAAGTGCCCGAGGGGGATACTGGCAAACCAGGAAAACTCAATTCATTGCACATGTACGTCCTTTGCAGTAGTTGAGCCTTGAGCAACTATTTCAAGTTGAATTAAAAATAGATTTTAGAAAAAAAAACAAACAGAAGGAGCAAGTAACAACAAATTGCCAGGACTGTTTAGTATGCATGCAAGAGCTATTAGCTGGCTCAAGAATAAAAATATTAAGCTTTATACTGTGATGCATCAGTTAGACTGGTCTCTGTACCACAGTAATAAGAAGTGGCAAATGTGACATAACATTTTTTAAAAAGATGTAAGTGAGCATGCAGTGAATTGCAGAACAGTTAGTCCAAATTTGGTATTTTGAAAACTGTAGAATCTGTGGTTGCATGCATAAATGTAAGAAAATATTGAAGAACTAACATGACTTTCGTAAAATCATAGAATCATTCCATAGGTTGGAAAAGACCTTTAAGAAAGAATCAACCATTAACCTAGCACAGCCAAATCCACCACTAAACCATGTCCTTGAGTGACACATCTATGTGTCTTTTAAATACCTCCAGGGATGGTGACTCAACCACTTCCCTGGGCAGCCTGTTCCAATGCTTGACAATCCTTTTGGTGAAGAAATGTTTCTTAATATCCAATCTAAACCTCCACTGGCACAATTTGAAACCATTTCCTCTTACCCGATCACTTGTTACTTGGGAGAAGAGACCACCCACCTTACTACAACCTCTTTTCAGATAGTTACAGAGAGTGATAAGGTCTCCCGAGACTCCTTTTCTCCAGGCTAATCAATCCCAATTCCCTCAGCCAGTCCTCACAAGACTTGTGCTCTAGACCCTTCATCAGCTTCTTTGACCTTCTTTGGACACACTCCAGCACCTCAATGTCTGTCTTGTAGTGGGGGGCCCAGAAGTCAACACAATACTCGGGGTACGGCCTCACCAGTGCCAAGTACAGGGGCACAATCAGTTCCCTAGTCCTGCTGGCCACACCATTCCTGACACTAGCCAGGATGATATTGGCGTTCTTGGCCACCTGGGCACACTGCTGGCTCATATTCAGCCAGCTGTTGACCAACACCCCCAGGACGTTTCCACCTGGCATCTTTCCAGGCACTCTTCCCCAAGCTGTTACATGGGGTTGTTGTGACCCAAGTGCAGGACCCAGCACTGAGCCTTGTTGAACCTCATACAATTGACCTGGGCTCATTGATCCAGCCTGTCCCGATCCCTCTGTAGAGCCTTCCTACCCTCGAGCAGATCAACACTCCTGCCCACCTTGGTGTCATCTTCAGACATACTGAGGGTGCACTTGATCTCCTTATCCAGGTCATTGATAAAGATATTAAAGAGAACTGGCCCCAGTACTGAGCCATGAGGAACACCACTGGTGACTGGCCATCAACTGGATTTAACTCCATTCACCACCACTCTGGGCCTGCCCATCAAGCCAGTTTTTTACTCAGCAAAGAGTACACCCATCCAAGCCCCGAGCAGCCAGTTTCTCCAGGAGAATGCTGTGGGAAATGGTGTCAAAGGCTTTACTACAGTCTAGGCAGACAACATCCACAGCCTTTCCCTCATCCCCTAAGTGAGTGACCTTGTCATAGAAGGAGATCAGGTTAGTCAAGCAGGACCTGCTTCTCATAAACCCATACTGACAGAGTCTGATCACCTGATTGTCCTGTACATGCCACATGATGGCACTCAAGACAATTTTCTCCATAACCTTCTCTGGCACCAAGGTCAGGCTGACAGGCCTGGAGTTCCCTGGATCCTCCTTCCAGCCCTTCTTGCAGATGGGCATCACATTTGCAAACCTCTGGTCAACTGAGACATCCCTGGTTAGCCAGGACTGCTGATAAATGATGGGAAGTGACTTGGTGAGCACTTCCTCCAGCTCCCTCAGTACCCTTGGGTGGATCCCATCCGGCCCCATAGACCTGTGTGTGTCTAAGCAGTGTATCAGGTCACTAACGATTTCCCCTTGGATTATGGGGGCTTCATTCTGCTTCCTGTCCTTGTCTTCCATCTCAGGGGGCTGGGTCACCAGAGAACAACTGGCCTTACTATTAAGTCTGAGGCAAAGAACGCAATTAAGTACCTCAGCCTTTTCCTCATCCTTTGTCATTATGCTTTCCCCCTCATCCAATAAAGGATGGAGATTCTCCTTAGCCACCCTTTTGTTGCTAATGGATTTATAGAAAGATTTTTTTAATTGTCTTTTACAGTGGTAGCCAGAAGGCTTTAGTGATGGATTATTTGAAGGATCTGGTTCTTGTGTGGATTACAGTGGTTTGATTGATACGTGTAACATACTGGAGTAAAAAGATAAGATTCCTCAACAAAATATCTCAAACTGAAACTAGTAAGGAGGCAATAATTTCAGGCATGTC